CATCTAGGGTTATGTTTGAAAAAATTGTAGGGAAACGAAAAACTGCTTAGGAATATTATATTTGATCGTTTTTGTACGCACACATATTCTGTCTCTACATAGTTTAACTATACATATAATAACAGTTGGACAAATATCTAAAATTGATCTATCAAGTTAAATTCTTCTTTTGAATTTTCCCTACATTTACTTTCTCTCCGTACTTTCGGACTTTCCCTCTATTTTTATCCTTGTGATCTACTCCGTATTTCTTTAAATTATTCGGAGTTCCAAGTAAATCCTAAATGGTAAACCTACTAAACCTAATCTGCCTCAACTCCCTACCCTTGTTGGTGCTATGTTTTTTTTTTGAAAATTAATAAACTTCAGAAACACATGGAGAGATGTGCATTAAAAACAGTTATGATGTAGCCATAGATTGTTTGTGTAATTTTGAGTTTTTTGTCTTTGATATTTGATTTTACGGACTTTGGTATAACATCTATAGAAACATTTGATCTCTGTCTATTCTTTTTCATAAACTTTCTACAGACCAAGATGATTTCTATTTACCTTGTATTTTTGTTTATTACGGATAACACCATACCCGAAACACTCAGGAAGATTCTGATTAGACCCAACCAGCTCACACAGTTTGGAAGTAAAAATTAGACACGATTAGAAACATTGAGACTAAAAACATAGAGTATCAGATTAGATAAAAAAGATTCAACAAGGTGAGACATTTTCTAAAGCAAAAAAGAATAGGTCCTCCAAAACTGATGACTAATGAATCATATTGCATTTTCCATTTTCTTAATGTTATACAGATGCTGGACCGGTTCGAGCAGCACACTCTGAAATGCTCGTCTTGCAAAAGCGCGTACAAAACATTTGAGACATTGCAGAAGTTTTTGGTTGGGGTCTTCGTTTTCTGTTCCTCAACGGCCGGAATCCCTTTGGACATCAGATATCGAAGTGTTTTGGGCGTGTTGGGGATTGCGAGTGCCGGCTTGGCATACCTCTTGCATGAACAAAAGAAAAACTTTGTCTTTATAGATTATGTTCATGCAGAAATAGAGTAAGAATGATGTAAGGTATGTAGATCGACTATCTTTCAAACGATCAAACCCACATTTGTATATAGAGTATATATGTATGTACTTAGTATGAATATGAATATAACAACGTAACCATAAAACGATAGCTACATTAAGGGCCTTAGGGTTGCTCTCCGTGTAGGCTTAAGGCTTCTCATTTACCGTTTTGGACTTTCTAGTTAAAGTTTCACATTTCTATTCTAGGAAATAATTAACACTCCTAAATGATAAATTAATCATCACATAGTTATCATTAATGATCTCATATTCTCATAATGTTATATACTTATATACTCGTAAAAATTATTATTGAAAATATAATCAAATGACCTTATTTAGTTATTATTTTAATAATTGTGTCATTTTCCAACCGGACAAAAGGTAGTACGAAGTAAGTATGGATGGACCCGGGCCGGTTCGGGCCTAGGCCCGGCCGGGCCTCGGGTCTGCTTTGTTGGGCCCGAGCCCGAACCGGTGGCCACCGGTTCCGGGTCCGGTTCCGGGCCGGTCGGGCCACCCGGTTTAATTTTTTTTTTTCCTTTCTTCCCCCACCCCCCCCACCCCAAACCCCCCCAAACCGGCCTAAACAGATAGCCCAAGCCCAATAGCCCAAAACAAATGAAAAAAATTAAAAAAAAAATAGATTTGGCCCGGACCCGGGCCCGAACCGGCCGGGCCGGGCCGTCAAAACCATGAACCGAGCCCAGAACCGTCCCACCCCCGGGCCTCCGGCCCGAACCGGACCCGGACCCGGATACCCGGGCCGGGCGGCCCGAACCGAGGCCATGCCTAGAAGTAAGGGTGGTTCGGGCCGGGCCCGGTTCAGGCCTTGAACCAGCCGGGCCTCGGTTCAAGGTAGGGGAGGCCTGGAACCGGCCCAGGTAATCCCAAATCATCTCAAATGGTCAAAAATACCCAATTCAACCCAAAAACTTAAAAAAATTCAAAATAATAGTAATAATAAATCCGGCCCAGACCTGGTCCAAACCGGCTGGGCCGGTTCACCAAAATGAAGGCCCGATCCCGGAACCGGTAGCCACCGGGCCGGGTCGACCCGAACCGCCATGTGCCGGGCCACTGGGTCGACCTGAACCGCCCATGGGCCGGGTCGCTGGGCCGGGCCGGTTCAAACAGTGACCGGGCCGGTTCCGGTTCGGGCCGCCCGGCCCGAGTCCACCCCTAGTACGAACTACGAAGTACTATTAATTACTACGTATCTGTTTTCCCGAAGTAACACATTCGAAGAATCGAAAATATGAACGGTAATGTTTAAACTTAGTGTATTAATATAATTCGCTATAAGGGTGAGACCTGATTTCACTGCTTGTATGTTGACTGAATTGCTACCTGTAAAATCGGTTCTAGGCCAGCACCATGGCCGGGTAGCAGTTCCTTAAAAAAAACATTAGTTCAAGCTTAAATTGTTAGTTTAATAATGAATTGATATTAGAAATTATTTTGCATATTGCATAAATAGTTAGTTTAATAATGAATTTATATTAGAAATTATTTTGACTGTTAATCAATAATTAATAGTGACGTTTAAAGAACATAATACAATATTGTAGCGACATTCCATGGAAGAGTAACGGTGATCAGAGTTTGTGAACAACTTTATTTTAAGTTCAAGCTTTTATTCTGTTGAAAATTTAAAAATGTATGCAATTATGTTATTAAGAATAATGTGACTTTGCGTAACTATCTTTTTTTAAGGAAAATCGGATCAAAAATCATAGTTCGGTCATACATCTTTCGACCATACTTAGAATCAATGACCTCAAAAGAAGCCACCTGATTCGATAATTCTCACTTGGGCAATTGTAAGCCACTTATGATCGATGTAGATTCCCTATAGCTTATCTTCTCCTGATTATGATCCAGAATGATAACTAAAACAAAAAAAAAAAAACAAGTCACTCTGGGCAAAACAAATCCAGCAGGAAAAAAACAACAATCCTTGAAAAATAATGTTATAGTCTTTTAATTAATATGGAATATCTTGAACAAATATATTCAATGCAGTTTAAATGCATGTATTAGTTTTGCACTCCATCTGGTTCTAAATAAAATTCTCACTTTTCTTATTGGGCGGGTCCAAAATAGAGTTCATAGTTCTATTTTTGACAGGTTTCTAATATTAAGTTACTCTTACAACTTAAGTGTTAAAAATTTTAGTTAGAGATCATTAACTTAGAAATTCTAGATTTTTTTTTATGTGTCATGTGATCAGTTAAATATAATCAATGTGCAGAAATGACATACTAGCATGAAATTGAGGTCCACCATTAGTGGTTTTGAAAGTTTGAATGAGAATAGATAAGTGTAGTGTAACAAAATAACGTGCATTGCCTTGATCATAGGTGTGTAGATTTCAGCATGTCAAGTTGACTTGGATAGCAGGCCAGTTTAATTAGAGCATGATGATGATGAGCTAATTTGGGTTTGTGGCAGGCACGTCATGTGACCCTAAACCCCTTCAGAACCTAAGTTTTGACTCCTTAACGTGGCCGCATCCTTTCTAACGTGCAAACCTTTCCGGACTCGCCCGGATTATTGCAATGTTTATCAATTAATATAGCTCAAAGGTTTACTTCTTTTCTTCTAGAGGGACTGAGAATTGGAATATATTGAGCTTAATTAAGTCATCCCAGAGAATTCTTGAGTTTAACTTGCATCATACTCATTGATAAGCAACATCATATGTACAACTGTGCGAGATCAGACCGGATCCGTAAAATTGGTCCTGATGCAGGATCTAGTACCCGACCGGGTACTAGGCAATCTCGTTCACTCGTTCGGTACTCCCGGATTGGCCAGTTTTTTTAGCCTTGAAACGAAAAAAGAAAATAAAAGAGACCAGAATCGACCAAGACCCAGATTTAACCGGGTCGGGCCCGAGCTTTTCCTACCATTGACCAAGACCGAGTCCACCCATATGTACAACCATTATCTCATCGTATTACATTGAGCCAAACACATTCCTAAAGAGGTCTTAGGATGTGTAATTGATCTCATTATATTTTAGAGACAAATCTTATCGACATCGGTAGTGGAACACTTAATTATGTTTATCACCAATTTCAATTTTGACCTGTTATAATAATATTTCCTTTTTGTGACATACTAAATTCAGATATTCTTCAAGTGTAATGTAATGTATATGTAGTACTGATTAGTATGGGATAGTACTCACTAACACCTTTAATAACTCAGTTTAATTTATATTTAACCAGCGTCTTGTTAAAACAAAATTATTTCTTGTAGTGTGCATTTAATGACCTTTTAGAATGTTTTAATTAGATTGAAATTTTCGGTCTGGTCTAATCTGATCAGAACTGGTTTAACTGATCTGATAGATGTCCATAAGTGCAAGACCAGACCATGTCCAAGCGACCAAGTGCATTATGATAAATTAAAATAAAATAAAATAACCCGCTGTAGACAATTGAATGCAGAAACCGGCAACATTTTCTTAGGGTATGCTTGGGAATTTGGATGGGAGGGGAGGGGAAGGCTTTGGAGGTATGTTGTTGGAGGGGAAAAGAAAGGGAGAGTGAGGAAGCTTTCTTTGTATTTGGGAGTAGTAAATTTGAAAGAAGAAGGTTTTTGAATGAATTATATTTAGAATCATTTTGAGATATGATGAATTCAAATAATTGAAATGATACTTATTTTTAATTGAACTTAAATTATCATTTCGTTAATTATCCTTCAAATAATTGGGGGAATTAAGAGGGTTTTGGAGGTCACCAAAACCCTTCAAAACAATTCCCTCCAATTTTATAATCTCTCAAACATGAAATGGAGGGTCATAAACCACCCCACCAACCTTCTTTTCCTCTTCAAAACCCACTCCCAAACACACCCTTAATCTTTGATAGGAATAATAAACAAAATATGTTCATTGTACATAATAAACCCTACAATCGTATCACAAAACATTAAAAAATCATACGTATGCAGAAATTACATTGCTTTAACTTGGACTGGCCTACCATCTATTTACATTCTACTGTAATATTCCACATAATATTAATTAAGCCTACATTAATTAAAATTAATTAATCAGTAATGGCAATCCAACGAATCCGGCCCGGAGAAGACAGAACTTACTGACATGGAATTACCATCATCATCATCACCGGCTTGATCTTCGCGTGGAGCTGGTAAGTTAAGATCGAGGGTAAAACCAGTTGCAGGCTTTTCATGATCATCGTCATCCATGGAGGTGGACGCGGCGGCTTTCGTAGTACTAATAGTAACACCGTTCATATGTAACGGCCGGTGTCTTCTCATGTGACCACCCAACGCCTGGCCGGAAAAGAACTCCGACCCACAAATCGAACACCCGTGAATCCTATTACTTCTCATGTCCTCTGTTTTTCCGGCGCCGCCGTCCTTCTGGCGGCTTTCTTGATTATCCGATGTGCTCTGTTTCTTGTTATGGCTTGCTCGATGCCCACCTAAGGCTTGGAACGATGGGAATCTCCGGCTACATGTCTTGCACTCGTAACCGCCGCTGACCGCCGCCGTGCTGGCGGTTTTAATCTTCGCCGCCTTAGGACCGCCACGTGCCAAGAGAATTAGACAATGTGCCACGTCCTCGTCCTCTTCGGTGGATATCTGGCTGCTAGAACTTGCCTGAGAATGATCAAATGAAGGACAAAACATGCTGCCACCGTCACCGCTCCCGGAGGAGCTCGAATAAACCGCCACCCGGGGCGGTGATGCCCGAGGACGCTTAGATCGCTTTCCTTTGCACAATGCCATCTTGCTTTGCTTTATCATTTTTAGTATAGCCTAATAGTTCTTTCTTAGGTCAAGAAAATGGTGAAGTATAAATAAGTGTAGTGAAGCAGAGAGAAAAAAAAGTTTCAGAAACTGTGTATGGAGACAATGAGGAGAGATTTGGTCTGGGAATGGAACTAATTAAGGCACTAGACAAGTTGTATTGTAGGAAGGATCATCATCTCATCTTTTCTTAGACATATACCATGAACTTAGACAAGAGGCTTGTGCATTTATTTACACCTTATTAAGGTCTATGAAAAAATCTAAAAGGGAAATCTCTTTAACATACATAGTCAAACACTCCTACAGCTAGATAGAGCCCCTATTTAATTAATTTGTTCATGTGATTGTATTGGCAGTCACTCTTAAAGATCACATTAGGGACTGGAGAAAGTGACTTACCAGTGAGTTTCATGTGATGTAATTTTTTGGCATATTGGTTGGTTTTAAGTTTTGGCCATTTATAAAAAAAAATAAAAATAAAAAAAATGAGTGTTTTCAAGGGTATTGAGTTGGGTCAAGATGGTTTATTTTTTCATCATTGTTTATTACGGAGTATGTGTGAAAATCAGTGGATACTTACTACCATATAAGCACTACAGAGGTGCCTGTAATGAACATTTGTTATTGACTTTGCAATGATACTTTGTCTCACATCTCTTTACTTTTTCTTCCTCCAATTACTGCACACCCCCTCTTCTTCTCATCACTGTCCAAAGCCACCAATTTCCTGTCCCATAGATTTACTAAGGGCCTTGAGCATTATTCTATGAAAATATATTTCCTAGAACTTGCTGCAAAGGCGCTAGGCTCACTTGCTTGTGCTCTTTACTTATTTTGATCATTAGCCATATCTAAACTTAAGTGGGCTCTAGGTTCCAGATTTATGGGCTAGACATGGTTCATGTTTAGGGTAGATCACCAACTTTCTCCCCTCCCTTAAAGACTAGATCAAAATGAATGAGGTTCCGGTTTCAGATATTAAGTCTGGATCAAAACTGATACAGCTCGTATGTCATTTGGTTCTTATACCAAACACTTATTCACACTCAAAAACTGGTTTGAACCACAAAAATCAGAAACAGAAACAAGGCGTTTAATCAAAGGTTTCGGAAAATTGGGAATAGGATCCAGACCAGCCTACCTCTAGTGCCTAAAGACTGCCTAGCAATTTTGAGAACATGTGTCTTCACTACTGTTTAAGAGGCTATGGTCTTGCATCTAGACAGGGTCTATGCAAGATTGCAAGATGAGGCCAGGCATAGAGAAGTAAGCTCCCAAAGAAGCTAGAAAAAAATGTCTAGCAATTGGATGGAGATGAAGTTCTCGCAGAGAGCTTCCGCCTAGCCCCAAGAGGCATAGAGTTGCGTCAAGCTACACCGTTTATTTCTCACTATCTTCGGTCAAGTGATGTGATTCGTTTAGCAGCAACTCAGCGAGTACGCACCAGTGCTTTTTTGACAATTTAAATGGGGAGTTCACGCTAACAATCATGGGTCTAGTCTCCTTCGGGATTGCCTTCTTCATGATGATGTATTGCATTAAGAACAATGCAGAAGAATTCATCGTGTTACTCTACACTAACATTGTGGGAGCTAGCTCCCCTTCCAACCATTGACATACCAGGAAGATAGGGATAGCGACACTTGGTTCTCTCTTGTGGGCTTGTGGCCAGTAAAACCATGATCAATAATATTACCTTACCAGGGCTAGGAATTCAAAGTAACAAGCTTTTCAAGAAATACGTTAACTTTCTTGCCAATGGCCGGTAAATTGGGTAATGTTAGCAGAATTGAAGCATGAGCAGTAAGAATGTTTTTACTTGGACTGTAATTTGTCCCAGACCAGACCATACTTGGGTAGTTATAAAAATACAAAGAAACCAGACCAGGCCAGTTCAGACCAGACTAGCAAATTACAGTCCAAGTAAAAACATCCTAAATATGGTATTGAGTTTTCAATTTCACAGGCTAGCAGAACAAAGTGTTATCTTAAGATCATCTGGTTCTTGACTTCTCGTAGTATTTAATATGGTAATGAGTATTGAATTTTATATGTAACAAGAGTAGTGTTTTACACGTGCAAATGTGCAATTCATAACCAAAATCGGATCAGGGCAGATTGATTGCCTACTCAAAACTGAACCAACACACCATCCCTAAACTAGCTACCCTTTGAACTTTCAACTGGTCCAATTCCTTTTTTTTATCAGGGCAGATATAACCCGAAATCTGATCATATCCATCCTAAAGATGTGACTTGAGAAACCAAGAATTCCGCTTTGAGTTAGAGCATCTACTCCCAAAACTGGGGAAGGGCCGAGTTCCAATTCCGAAGTCAGACCTGACACGAACTGAACAAGTAAAGAACCAGACCAGTGGCCCGTCTTTCATGTTGCAAACCCAAACTGATCCAATTTGATTTGTAATTTAAAAAATATTTGAAGAGCCTAATGTCCTGTAACCGAAACCGACTCAGAAACAGCTAGTGTGAAACCAAAATCAGCACAGATCCACCCCTATGCCCCACCCAACACATGAAATTGAACATCAATTCATCAAAAGTGGCAATGAGATAAATGCCGAAACCATACACTAAACTCCTAAGTATGAATACCTGTCTCATCCCTCTCATGACAAAATGCAGCAATGGAGAATTCACACAATTCATATAGAGACGTTGAAACCCAAAAGGTGAGTGAACTTTCAATAACAATACACTTGAGCATTCCAAACAAAGACATGCCTTATAAACTCATGAGTCTACATACAATCCCATATTTATTTATTAGGTGTGAAACTTCTGAGAAAATTCAGCTTCAATCCTTGACTTATACGGGAGTTAAGCCAACCACACCTGGGCAACATATCAATAATGTTTGTATCAGTGGAAAAAATATTTGACTGAGCTAATGCAGCAAAGAATATATTGCATATCTTAATGAGTTTACAAATAATAACAACGGTGATGATAGTAATGATTATAATAACAATAACAACAATAGTAATAATATACGATGTTAAGGGTGTATTAAGAGTTTAGTAATGTATCACTGAACTATTGATAAGATTATAATGTATTCGAGTTAGTACGCAATGCAAGTCATAATGATACAATTCAGGGTTAGTGAATAATGACTATAATGTATATATTCACAAACTGCACAAAAAGTTATGTAAAAGCACACATAAAAAACTTAATGCAAAAAAGTAAAGAAAATATTATATATTTGTCAAAAAAATAAGTTAGTTTGATCAATAAATAGTGAATAGGATATAACAAGACACAACAATTGAGAGAAAGATGGTAAGTATTTGACAATGCTTACTGCTCGATCCCTAAAAAGACCAATATATTGGTCACTTTTCAAGTGAGAAAAAATTATTGCAGCATACATCCCAAATATCTCATTTTAGAGAAAAACTTGCGCTAGAGAAGGTATGTTTCTTTAGAGCACCAAAGGAACATTATTTGCTTTTTTTTCAAGCTTGCCCACTTCTACACACGAACATCAATACAACAACATCCAAGCCTTACACAGTACACACAAATCAATAAATATCAAACTATCAATAATTACATTATGAACATTATAATCATTGTTCGATTAATTATTCAGGAACTTTAAAGGTTTTATTTTTTACTCATATAAGAGCAACTTGAAAGAAGAAATTATGATTTCCCTTACCACAAGCCAACCGTCCACCTGCATTTCCAGTAGTGAGACTAAGCTCATGGCCACCTGCAAAATGATTAACATTGTAAGTAGTAGGTCCAGATTAAATTAAGGTTTACTATTACTGCTCAGGGTTGAAGTAAAAGAAATACTAAAATACTGTTTGGTAAGTTTCATTTCGGCTTCACCCTGTTGTTTTCATAGTACTCCCTCCGTCCCGAAAAGGTTGGCCAAATTTCCTTTTTTGGATGTCCCAAAAAGATTTGCCATTTCCATTTAAAGTAAGGAATATGTGGCTAAAGTTAATTCTCTCTCCTCAGCAAAAATTTCAACCACACAGTTTTTACTTTATTAATTCACGTGAAAGTCAACTTTGGCCAATCTTTTCGGGACGGAGGGAGTATTATGTAATTAATAGTGCATGAGTTGATTTTTTGGCTGAAATTGACAAAAGTTCATAGATATTTTTTCTTCAATTTATTTTCTTAAGGTTATTTAGCAGATTCATCCCTTTCAAAAGCAACTTCGACACTTTAGTCATTTTAAACGAGTAAAGGGTTAGTTTGGTCCTCGAAGTTGCACAAAAGGGGTCAAATAAGTCCATATATAGGATGTTTTATCCGGCCGTCGCCATTTGGGGCGGTTCCCGGTGGAATTTTTTGATGAAATTTTTTTAGCATCTTATTCATTAAGTCTAGTTCACTCATATCAAATTTCAGATAAAAATTCAATCGGGAAGACATTCAAATGAATTCTTGAAGATAATTGTGCAATTAAAAGCGCAGTTATCTTCAAGAATTCATTTGAATGCCTTCCCGATTGAATTTTTAGATGAAATTTGGTATGAATGAACTAGACTTAATGAATAAGATGCTCAAAACATTTTATCAAAAAATTCCATCGGGAACCACCTCAAATGGCACGTTCGGACAGAATCTTCTACATAAGGACTTATTTGACCCCTTTTTTACAACTTCGAGGACCAAACTGACCCTTTACTCCATTTTAAACCAAACCAAATGGGTTCTATAATTGAGAATCAAGCCGTTAGAGAATAGCTACCAAATACATAAAAATATATGACTTTGTGATTATCAAAGATTAGTTGGTTATGATTTTCTGCTTTCCACAACCACTTCTCAACTGCAAAAATCATCAAAATGAGCAATTGACCATCAATCCAGATGATGAGACTTACCCTTTCCAAGGTCGTCCTCAAGTTCATGAACCACAAAAGCTCTTCCGACAACTGAGTTTGGACCACTTAATGGTATCTGTACCAGAAATAAAAGAAACACTTAACAGGATTCCAAATCCCAAACAAGAATCACTTGGTGTTAAAGTATCCTACATCGGGACACTAACCGCATATCACCCACCAAATAACAAATGGACTTCCTGACTTTGTTTCTTAGGGTCTAAGATCTAGAGTCTAGACTCATACTCGGGCTCTTAATGTTTTTGGGCTTATTTGGATACAAATTCAAGGCATGGTTTGGCCACATAGCTAAATAAGGTTGAGTGGAGAGTACCTGGTGATCAACAATTGTTGCTTCGGCCAAGCCTGGATA